TACCCTTCCAGAGTCTATTCTACGGGACTTCAACACAATTCAGATCAAGAAGAGGTAAGGAAGTATATTTCCACTCCGAAAACCGACGACAATCACAGTAATAAGGGTAGGAAAATATACAACTCATCTATTGCCTGTCAGACTACCTATACTAGTCTGACTAAGCAAACAACCAACCATTATTTCTCTCACCCACATATAAATGACCTAATTATGAAGCTTTCATTATTGTTTTGAATAGTGCCACCACAATCAATGCTAGGTAGCAGCGAACTTGAAAGAGATGTTAACGGTTTAGTCCAAGGTGACAACAAAATCTTCGAGACCAAATAGTTTATTTCAAAAATGCACAACATAACCCAAAAAATTCAATTGGATTACAATTCTCATGTCCTTAGTCACAACTCCATCTCTAAACAATACATTATGAGGTAATCATCGCATTTTCTACACTTATAGAGTTGAATTATCAAATAGATTGTATAAAACAAAAGTACGCTTTCTCACAGTTTACATTACTGGCAGAAATTAGTCAAACCACTACTGAAGGCTAAAAAATACTGAACAACATTTCTTACCCTAGTACATGACTTTTGAGAAGTCCACATTCATACCGCTCAATCAAGAATCGTACGTAAGACCTCCATTCTGAACCAAGAACGCCTAGTCTCCAGACCACTGAGCAGAAACCCATTGATTTATAAGTTTAACTTCAGTCAATCAGCGATTTCGCACAACCATCCTCCATAGCCTTTAGTGGACCCAAGGGTTAAGTGCTCACCTAAAGACCTTAAGTCCATGTTATCTATCCGGGTCAGGCCATAGATGATCATTTCCGTTATGTCCCATTTTGCGAATATATGCGGATTTTGCAAAATCTAGATATATGTGTGTCTTTTTAATTCTCCGTATGTAATATATCTGCGAATGGTGTTTTACTTCATGGAGAACAGAGTACTTGAATAACAGCTGGTGGAAAAATAGGTTATCGTATGTACATATGTAGTTTTTTATTGTTAATATTAAGTTTAATTTTCAGTATGAATATTATCATTGAAACATCGACGCATACAGATGACAAATATTAAATGGGGTGAAAAAGTTGTCCTGGTTTACATTACTGGTCAAATATTGCACATGATTATGACTTTTGTAGACTGGTTGCATTGATGTTTGGGAATTAGTTTGATTTATGTTCTCTATTTACCATAGACTGACACAACTTCAGTCGCCTTCTTGTATGAGGCTCCTCTACACTGGTTATCAAAGACTCCACCAGGAATCGAAACGAGGACTTAAGGCCTCATGACGAGTGCCTAACACTTTGATCAATGAGTTGGAATTCAATCCCTCACTTATTCAACTTGTACTAGTTGATAATTCCTTTTTACATTATTCCGCTCCTGATTAGAATTCCAAATACAGTACGTTCCATTGTGCTCACAGAGTGCTCTCTGACTTGACTACTGATCCTTACGTGACTATTAGAGTATGAATTGAACTGTTCTGGGTATTAATAACTAGCTAATGAAATCCTATTATTCCTAGTTATCACATAATTTCAGTCAAATGATGATGATGATGATTGATGTTCATTCACTGTAATCCATGATGACCATCTAATGGAATCAACCGCTCATTGATAAGATGTCTGAAATTACGATGGACCACCTAACCCATACTCCTTGGTTTTCAATATTATACCAACGGATGTTATTCGAAAACAAAAAACCGCAATCGAACTTGACATATTCAAGCTTCAATGTGAGACCGTTAACTTTACACCAAATTTGTTTACGTAATACTGATTTCTGTATCTTAACTAACTCCATAGCGTTATCCACTAAGCTACTAAGTCCGGACAGCCACCAGCTTGTGGAATGGGGTGAAGTTTAATTCATTTTGTACTGGTTGTTTGAATTTTCCTATTTATGTTTATAACTGCTATAAGTAAGTCTCTTATTGGTATATATGCATCCTGTGAAGATTGCCTCAATATTGCTTTAAGTTATAAGCATTATAAACAGAGATGGATGGTGGCTAGCAGTGGAATACTGAGGCAATCCTCACCGGATGCACATATGCCAATAAGGGAATAAAAAAGGAAAGTTTGTGAAGATTCGCCTCTCTGGAAATATCTTATACATTGAGTCACTGACTGATCTTACTCAGACAACCATCAAAAATCAGAAAGCACTTGACAGCTGTTTCGTTCTTGAGCGAAGCTCCTCAGCACTGTTCAACGATGATGTGTTGGAGATCTAACCCATAATAAAACAGTTGTCATCTTGTTTAGTTGTCATGATCTATGGTGATAAAAAATTTCAAGTACTAGTATAGTTTGATGGGATGTAGGTAAGCATCAATCGATAAAGTTAAAATTTGTGTAAAAAAAAAGATGCCCACGGATTAAACCTAACAGTAAGGTCTTGACTCATTAGAGAATGAGTGATTAACCAGTTAATATCCTCCAGTTGCCTATGAAATTTTATTATATTTGTTTTGTGCTCATATTCGTCACATAGAGAAGTTACTTTATTACATGAAAAAACTATTCATCTGTCTTTTACTTCTAATTATTTGGGAATCCAAGTTATGTGGTCTCGTGGGTACTCATCAGTCGGTCACGTTATATCGCTTCATTTATCTATCTATTAGGATTCTATTCATTGATTTTAACAATAGGAAATTTCGTCGAATTACATCATTGAAATCCTTCTTCATACCATTGGTGACGGGGATTGAATTGATTTCTGAAATATTGATTACTATGGCTGGGTCGAACTCATTATTCATTCAGCTAATGTGAACGCAGATAAAACTTGTTGAAATGGTTCTAAATAACTTAGAACCTGGACTCCACTAACATAATATTACTTCAGCTGTTGATTCAGGTCAACAATAATACACAACAAATAAAAGTTCATGTGACGGTGTAATGGTTGCATACAGTGATACAACTAAGTCAATGAACAATCTTAAAGTCACTGTCAATTGAAATTCAGTGATATCATAGTAGTCAAAGCTTCTGGAAAATTCCTTGACTTTGAGCCCAGAATTTCTAACTTCGGTTACACGATATTCATACGGGTCTACGACGCATATGACAAATTAATTTGCACAAACCATGCACCAAACAATTTCATGAAGACTACTGAATTTTTAAGTTAATGTACATGAACGCCCCATGTACTCGGATCGTTATGAGGAAAATCACGCGACATCCTCAGTTTAAGTAGGCGGGAGGAGGCGTACGACATACTGTGATGTTTATGAAACTTGGTCCGCTCTCAACATTGAACCAGTGTTCCGGTCAGATCAGTCTCAGTCAGCTGTGAACTATGCAGCGAATACACCTGTACATTCACAATCGCTCGGACAGCTTCCACCAAGACACTATCGGCACACATGTTTGTGTTTTTTTAGTTGATGATAATGATTCAAATAAAGACAGTGTGAACACGAGTAACACCTTAAGACCTAATGTTACATAAACACTAGTATAAAAGCACATTATTATTATGGTGTATTTAGAAAGTCTAAATTTATATATATATATATATATATATATATATATATATATATATATATATATATATATATATATATATATATATATATATATAGCACAAACTAACGTGCTAAAAAACAAAAGGAATGGTTAAAAAAATATGAGTTCGACACTTGAGAATCAGCACAAAATATTCCCAATAAAATGGGATCAGATATCTATCAGTAAGGACTCTAGCAACTTTTCATGGCAGATAGTTAAAGGTTAATAGTCAAACATCGAACCACTCTGTGACCTTAAATTTGGTGAAACACGACCTTATTGTCAATAGTCTGGCTACATGCAACGGTAAATTAAGTATAAAATGATGCACCTTTAACCAGGATCAAATAACGAAAGCTTTGACAAAGAAGACTGAAGAACATAAAGTGTGATTAACGAGAAACCTAAATAAGGATTAAAATACAAGACAAGGAGAAGAAACAAATTAATGACAATACTGTCCAATGGAATGATGTAGAGAGATTTTCAACGTTTTCTTTCCGTTAAAACTAGTCCGAAATGACTCAGTATTACTATCTGCAATGAGGAGGATGGGGACAATTGCAAGGAAACTTTTTACTCAGATATCGTGTTGGTTAGCAGTCATTATTAAGATGTATTTGCATACTTGGAAGAAGTAACTTTTTTGATGAAACTTGTATACCCATCACCTAACGTTATAGTCAGAAACATACAAAATTACTGACAGAATATGCATTCAATACAAACCATATTTTATTACCGATTAATTTCACTGGCATGTTTTTAAGCTGGTAGACTGAATCCCAAAACGCATTCGTAAATTCCTACATTTATTCAGTCCTTGAATGTGTTGAGCCGAAAAACGCACTTTTCTCAGACCCTCTATCTTAATAATAATAATGTCACTAATGATTTGAAGCATACTAAACTTTTGGAGTATAACAATGTCAGAAATGAAACATTACAGAAGAAGGATTAAATGACACACAAGGAATTGTGTGAAGTTGAAGAATGCTGAAAAACTTGAAAGTCATGTGTATATACATTAATGAGGAGTGTTAAAATATACCCAAACAACTATTTAGTGCTCACTGGTCTTCAGCAGTATACCAACTAAGATTTATCAATGATAAATACTAAAATCTGTCTCACTCTCTGCATGATTTCTTTTTATTTTACCACAAAAGTTTTTCTTAACCCAACTGATTTATTTAAACAAGTAGATTGGAAATAAATAAAAAAATTTTGAGAAAGAAAAAAAAACAGTTTTCTCTGATTACTAATATAATCAAAATAATTATCCTCACTGAAGATTGTCAACTCAATGGCTGTTTTTAAGAATAAATTCAATATTCAATTTTAGTTGATTGGTTTATGTTTACACGCCAGTATATTTTATGTAATATATACTTTTGTTTAAAAATTCTTTCCATCACTATATTCTCTAAAAGTGATTTATTATATTTTACGCTATACTTGCATCATTATCATCATTCAATGTTCTTTGCATTCTCTTTGAATACTGATAATCAAAATGATGATGATTTTGATGATTCCAGTTTGAACAAGTAAAGAATGAATAAATAACGATACCGAAAAACTGAAATGTTTTAATTAAGAGGACAGATATACAATTTAGGTAGGGTGAAAAGGTTAATGAAAATAGAAAAAAAAAACAATTAAATTAAAACAGTGATCTCATGTTAAAAGTCACAATATTGATATAATCCCATCTTAGCATATATTTCATCCCAAAAAATATATTAAAATGTGTTTCAACTGTTTTTAACTGTTTATCAAATTCGAATGTAAGATATTTCCACATTTTTCCACATAGCATGTAGCATGTATTCCAGTGTATTTTGATGTCAACTCTCCAAAGGAAAGACAAGAAGAAAAATATCCGAACCACTATGATATTTTTGATGATATATTATAGTCATTATGGGGATTTGTGGAGATTGTGGTATTTTCAAAGTTAATTCAGGAGTCGATATAAGCTATATTACTATTGAAAACCTGGAGGCACTGGATGGCCGTTCTGTCCTAATATGGGACTCCTCAGTAGTGCGCATTCACGATCCCGCTTGAGGGATGAAACGGCCATTCAGTGCTTCCAGATTTTCAGTGGTGGTCTAGCTTAGATTGACTCTTGAATTCAACTTTGAAAATATATTATAGTATTTAATGTCACATTAAGTTATCGATTAACTACAGAACCTTAAGAAATCATTTGTTTTCACCTAACATTACATAATAAGATTTTTTAAATGAGTCTAGAATATGAGGAATCCTTGAAAAAGCTGCACAGGTATACGAAAAATTTGATTTAGCCAGGCACATTTATTATGACTTCACGAGGAAGAAAACAATAACTTTTTTAATGTATAGGGATCGTGGAGATTATTGAACTTTGAAGTTGACATAAAGGACTGAAAACCAGAAAGCACTGAAAAGCCCTTCCCTCCTACTAAGGAACCACCCATTAATGCACACCTATGGCCCCGCTAGCGATCAAATCCAGGACCTCTGGTCTCACTGCCAATGCTTAATCTTTGGTCTAATAAGCAGGTATTTAATAGTTTATACGTTTAGTTAAAGCGTTTGACAGTGTGGACAGGAGAACATTATGGAAACTTCTTCGACACTACGGAGTTCCTGAAAAGATTGTCAACATTATTCAAAACTCATACAATGGACTATAGTGAAAAGTCGTGCATGGAGGACAGCTGACAGATGCATTTCCAGTAAGGACCGGAGTCAGACAAGGCTGTCTACTCTCCCCATTCCTCTTCCTTCTAGTGATTGACTGGATTATGAAGAATTCGACATCTGAGGGGAAATACGGAATATAATGGACTTCTCAGAATCAATTAGATGATTCGAACTTCACAGATGACCTAGCCCTCCTCTCTCATACACACGAACAAATGCAGATGAAGACAGCAAATGTAGCTGCAGCCTCCGCATCGATAGGACTCCACATTCACAAAGGAAAAAGCAAGATTCTCAAGTGCAACACGGAGAACACCAACCCAATCACACTCGATGGTGAAACTCTGGAAGATGTGGAAATATTCACATGCCTGGGAAGCATCGTTGATAAACAAGGAGGATCGGATGCAGATGTAAAGGCGAGGATTGACAAAGTAAGGGCAGCATTTCTACAATTGAAGAACATATGGAACTCAAAACAACTCTCAACCAATTTCAAGGTCAGAATCTTTAATACGAACGTCAAGACAGTCCTACTGTATGGAGCTGAAACGTGGAGAACTACTACGGCCATCATCAGGAAGGTACAAGTATTTATAAACAGTTGTTTGCGCAAAATACTCAACATCCATTGGCCGGATACTATCAGCAACAGCGTTTTATGGGAGAGGACAAACCAGCTTCCAGCTGAAGAGGAAATTAGGAAAAGACGTTGGAAGTGGATCGGACATACATTAAGGAAATCACCAATGTGCATCACGACTCAATCCTTAACTTGGAATCCGGAAGGGAGGCGGAAAAGAGGAAGGCCAAAGAACACACTACGCCGGGAAATAGAAGCAGATATGAAAAGAATGAATAGCAACTGGGAAGAACTGGAAAGGGAGGCTCAGGACAGAGTTGGATGGAAAATGCTGGTGGTTGGCTTATGCTCCTCGACGAGGGTTAACAGGCGTAAGTAAGTAAGTACGTTTAGTTAATGAAGCTCTGCTATGCCGACTACAGTTAATCACTAGTGAGATTCGAAGATGGTTGCGCAATGCAGTGGATTGGTTGAAATTAAATGTGTAAAACAATAGATGTCAATCCAATGGTCTATAGATAAAATTTTCACCTCGGGATCGACGATCCTGGATTCTGTCCCCGATAGGATTGTGGTTACTCATTACTGAGGAGTGTTATACTCGAACTGTACAGTTGTCCAGCGCTTCCTGGCTTCCAGAGGTTGTTTAACTAACGTAAACCCATGATGTTAGTTATCAGATTCCCTATTTCAATATAAATTCGATTTCCATGAATATATATATATATTTGCTGATTGATATTTAATGAATAATCAATGCGACTATAATTTATGGACGACCTTTATGCGACGTTAAAGTGTCCACCTACTAACTACTACTGAATGAAGGTTATAAGCCAATGTGAGGAATTAGAATTATGACTTACAACTTATGATTAGGGTTAGGAATTAGATTTAGAGTTTTCATCCCGAACGGATATCAACTGAAATGCCTAAAAGCTCTTTAACGAAATGGATAAATGAATTTCGCGCTAAAATTCAAAATCTATTATCTTAAGCCTGATTGGTTCGTCCATGAATTATAGTCTCGCCAAAAAAAACCGAATAATAATAAATACACTACTTAATAGTTATTTATTTACTGACCTGCCAAATTGCTATACAGATGCTAACAAGTGCAACACAAAATTGACCTGATTTTATCGTCCCGATAACTTTCGTTAAGCATCCCTAATTGAATGAATTATTAATTACACTGTTAATGACAATAATAATTTTAAAAAAATTGAACATACCTTCTTTTCAGTTGGTTTCATTCCACATGCAATAACTGGTTTACGATCAAACAGGTCTTCAACATTTAATTTACCACAGCAATCAAACTACAAAAGGAAATTATTGTTATTATCAGAATAGTGATTTTCAAATACTGAATCCCTAGAGAAAAGAAATAGCAATTCATACCCATTGTAAAAGCTAATGTCTATCTGGACTCGTTAGGCCAGTGGATTGCGGGCTGGGTTTTGAAGCGAAAAATAATGAATTTGAGCCTTGGTGTGAACATTAACAGTGGGATATGACAATTACATGTGGCTGACGAGCCTCGAACAGAATGAAATGCGTGTCCTTGATTCCGCTGCTAGCCAGTAACCAAATTTAATAGATAGTGTTGTTTTTGTAATGATTCATATGGTGTACTTCCCTTGATTTCAATGACTCAAACCAGCTAGACTTCCCTTCTGTTTACTATCAAATATTAGATTGTGTAATAATTATGGTTTTAGTGAATTTTACAATTGAGGAATTAATCTACCACGTTAAAAGCTAATGAGTTAAATATGTATTAGGTTGTATAAGCATTCCAATGATGAATATTAAAAGTGTTAAACTGAAGAATTCCTTAAATTGAAATTATTAATCATTGAGTTACGAAGCGTTTTGAGTTTTTAAGTTCAATGCTACATAATAAAACATTCATAATATATTAGGAAGATAATACAAAATATGAAAAATGGGTAGATATTCTTGGTAAATCAATTTGCATACTTTAGATTTCTATTTTGACAGTATTCTTATATAATCCTAACTGTAAACTTCTTTTTTGACTAGATAGTTATTATTATTATTATTATTATATCTTATATACTTCACAAATTACTGTCAACTAACATTAAGATTATTGCTCAGTCATATCGAAAATATCCTAGTTATACGCCTACTGATATTGATAAATTTTAACCTGTCGGAATCTAGGTTAAGTGATCTATGAGTTTAAACATTGAAGAGTACTTTTAACCACTCATTTGACCTCTGATGTTATAAATAACATTTTGAGAACATAAAAGTTAATATGGCTGATTGGTCGTATATGAAAAATAAAGTAACAGAGTTTTATTAGATATGTAGTTCCTTTGATTAGTCAATAACACAGTAGTGTGGTGCTCAAGCATTTATTACATTGTCAGAAGTATCTTGGAGATAGAAATGAGTTTTTTCAGTAAATCAAGCACATGTAAATATTAAAAAATATATTTTACATAGAGAAACCACAGAATGGATATATCAAGTATTCTATGTTTGATAAGTTTAATTGTATTCAATATGCACCACAGTCGGTCATATGATGTTATTGAAAAAGTTTAATGATGCAATATCACTGGTTTTCTTTATTCAGCCAGGTTAGATAGAATCTATGAGCTGTTATCTACACAAATAGGATAGCACTTAATATTTTATAAGTTTCTAGATAGGAAAAAACGATAAATTAGGAGTAACAGTTATATTTATAAAGAGATCAAAAAGTTTGTCTAATAGAAGTCAAATAAGGACAAGCCACATAAAGGTTGAACTTACCAAGAGTATGTAAATCACAAACAGTAACAAATAGATAAGGTATGGTTAGTCATTAAATGAAGACAAGAGCTCAACAAATGGTTCATTAAACTTATTCATCAGTAATTATTACAGTATAGGAAATGAGAATTATCATTGTATTATGGCGTATGTTGATCTAGTGATAATTAATCGATATCACGTAAAATATGAAAGGTTGATGGTGGAATTGTGTAAATCTCGTCAAAATCATTTCTCTCTCCCCACTTCACATATGAAACATAATTCTTGTGTAACATGAACAGAGATGTATGAATATGTCGTAATCCATTTTGTGTATTGTATTACAACACGTATTTTGAGTAGATAATATACTTGGTGTATGGCTAACATGAGAATCTATGAGGCACATCTCATCGTATTTGATACTCATCATGTAGATGTGCATGTCACATCCCAATGTTGGTGTTTACATTGAGATTTGAACACACCACCTTTTGATTGAATCGACCAGTGTGTTCGTAAGGCCCCAATCTGTTAAGTTCATGTAGATACAATGTTGTTTCAAGAGGTATGAAAGTACTGTTAGTTAATTTGTAACTTACGGTTGTTTTTTTATCTGTAATTGTTCATTTGATCTGTTGTCACATGTGGATCCTAATCTGATTGTTTCAATGAAACTTTTATTTATGTTTAATTCTTTATGCCATAGTTTTTGTGTAACTCTTGGAAATGGCTATGATGCCTTGAAACTAGATTTTGTATTTCCCTACGTTCATCATCTCAGTGAGACTGGTTGTCTTCATGTGGATCAAAGCCGCATAACATTTCACTCAAAGAAGTTACCATTTATCAGTGGGTACTTGACAAGTTGAGTGATACAGTTTGATTAGAAATAAAGACTAGACATCAGTGACTTCTGTCATAACTCATTAACCCGTTAGTATTTCTTCAAATCGCTCTTAGTGACGTACCACTAACGACATAAATATAACTTGGACTTTTACCACTCTAATGCTTTTGTCTTGAAACTTCTTGTTTATTTTCATAGACAATCAAATATTAAATGTACTGTATCGATGTTTCATAATTTTCGGTCGTATATATCTACTTTGATTATCATTTGAAACATCTGATTATAAAGAGAATTGTAGTCTGAATTGTTTAAACTAATGAGTAACTTTGGCAAGCTCTCCTTTTATACAAATTATAGGTCTTGGATAAAACTTTTTTTTGATAAATACTAAAAACACCCTTCACTAGGAACAAACAGCACGCAAAGAACAAAGAAACTTTGGAAGGATTGAACAACTGTTTCATCTTAGATTTGAGCTTTTCAGAAGTGTTGACACACAATACAATGGAAATCGTACCTACATTTAAAAAAATAAACACCTTGAATTCCATGTTCTGGATGATACTTATGAACTTAGTAATGATTGTCTTTGAAACATAGTTCCCGAAGTTTAATTTAAAAGTTATGATCTATGAGTTCAACACAGTTGTCATTGAGATGAGTACTTACCGAAAACAGTGAATAAAGATGGTGCTGCTTATTGGCATTTTAAAATAACAGACTACAACTTAGCATGCTAAGATTATTGTATGTTTGGTTCAAGATCTACCGGTTGTCTATTCTATTCCGTAAGAAGTAGGGATTGTGGATCATCAAGGATGAATCATCTATCCAATTGTTAAGTCTCCAGAAAATCATTTATTCACACAAGTTTATTTCGTTATTTGAACTATGTAAATTTTTTGTTTCCATCTTTTTACCTCTACAAAGGAACCACTTCTCATATTTACAGTCACCAAGTGACTTATTTTGTTGTTGAGTAGTTACTCTTTTACTAAGCTGATTTCCTGTCCTGTTTTCAAAGTCACTGTACAAATATTCATACTTCCTTTCTGTCTAACTTAATAAATTTTTTTCATTCTTTACCACATAAATGTGTTTTGTGATCTTTGTCATTTGATTTAGCTGAAACTAGGAGAGAAATGGGAATTATGGTATACACGTATTGGTATTCTACAGTATTTGATAACTTTCCAGTTGCTTGATTTTTTTTTTAAAAAACAAATATTCATATTCATGTCACTCACTTTATATTGAATGTAATTGAGAAATTTAGTTTCTTCATTCACCATTAAACGTTTCTCATCATAATTTTTCAGTAAATTATCAAACATTTTATTTAATTCAATGTATATCTAAAAGAATGTTAAATTAAATTATGTTGAATAAGATAAATGTTTCAATGTTGAAGGAATTTGAAAATTGCTTTATAGACATGTTCAACTTTATTCTTGTTAGTTGAATGATATTTTATAAACTGGTCACTTATTTGTTATTTCAACCTTCAACATGTTGTTGTGGTCTAGCTTCAATTGACTCATGATTTCAACTGTGAAAATACTAAATTCTTCACAAAACCCCCTCTGATCTATAATCATATGCTCACTAGTGACTGACTTCAAGAGATATTTCCTTGAGTTCTAGTGGGAAGCAGTGACCAGTGGAGTTCTACCAGGTCTGTTGTAGAGATATCATCTCACTGAGGACAATTGATGAACGGTCGCTCAATATCGTGGATTGGTTGAAGTTAGACATTAACACCGTTGGATGCCAGCTCAGTGGTCTATCGGTTAAGGGCTTCGGCTCGAGACTGGTAGGTCCTGGGTTCGAATCTCGCTCGCGAGAGCGGGTTCGTGGATGCGCACTGCTGAGGAGTCCCATAATAGGACGAAACGGCCGTCCAGTGCTTCCAGGTTTTCGATGGTGGTCTAGCATCAATTGACTCATGATTTCAACTGTGAAAATACTAAATTCTCCACAAAACCCCCTCTGATCTATAATATACATAAATTTGTAGTGTATATAATGATCGATCAGTAAAGGGATGGTATACAGACTAGCGAACTCCGCCTGTAGCTCCTCCGGGGCTACTGCAGGTCCCAAGCCCGGGTAAAGGAGGAGGGTTAGGCATAGGGTTAGCGACCCCATCTCGTAGAAAACCAACTCGCTAAAAAACGCCAACCAGAAAAAATATATATACTAGCCATTCAGAATCAAGAAAATGACTCTTGAGATTTTGCACAGTATTAAAATATCATATATAATGAGCATTAAAAACACATTTGTCAGAAATCCAATTTTCTGCTCATTGAGGTATCCCAAATATATTTATTGCTAACCTTTGCACACTGCTCAAAATTTTTTAAATAATTATGGGAAATTACTTTTTTGCCCCCAATTTTGTCTCTTATAGATTGCATATGACAGAGCGAATCTACACTATCGCTAAATTCTAACCTAAAATCTTAATCCTCAATAAACCTTAACCTGGCAACACTATATTTTATGAATTAACTTATCAGATATCACCTCTTAATTTCTTGTGCTAAATTCATCTATCCATTTATCTACAGAGCAGTTTCCCGTATTGCTGATATTAGTTTATGATGAAAATCTTAAACGTGGATCCCTAATCCTTGTCATAAATACCTAACACCGTCAGGTGCTGGCTCACTGGTCTAGAGGTCAAACATTCGTGTGTGAGGCCGTGGGTGCGCACTGCTGAGGAGTTTCTTAATAGGACGAAGCGACCGTCCACTGCTTATATGTTTTCAATGGTAGTCTAACACTGACCGATTCATGATCTCATCAAAAAATTCTAAAAGTTTATCCCAAGCCTTTAAAATGGTGGCGAAAATAAATGATCGATAACCATAGGTACCAGTTTTTATGTCGTTATTTTTCTTTATGCTGACAGATTAACTCGTGGAAGATTTTAATTGATTTATTAAATATATGAATTCTGTCTATGGATTGCAATATTATTATTGCCTTTTCCACAAACTATCCATTTAACAAAGTAAATTTTTTGATTAACTAGGAACTGGTTGAAAATTCGTCTCGGTTATTTTTAAGTTCGCCTCAATATTACACCCTCGCCATTTGGAGGTTGTCAACAGGAAACCCTGAACCTAGGTTTCCTTCTACTTGCCACTCGTCGGCAAGGTGTACCTTTAATCTTGAGGGAAATGATGCTCCCTGATGGATTCGACCCCGTCTCACCCAGCGGCCTGGATAGTTCAGTAGTAACGTCTCTGATTGTGAGGCTGAGTGACATGAGATCGAATTCATCAGAAAGCATCAGTTCCCTCAAGATTAATGGTACACCTTGCTGACGAGTGCCAATTAGCACGAAACCTAGGTTCAGGGTTTGTTGTTGATTACCTCCAACCACCATCTTATCTCAACATAGTGCACGTCATGTCGAGTCACCTAGATTAGTGGCCACATTGCAACTTGGTCGATAGGATTCGAGCGACACTAAAAAGGACCTGACATACATTGTATTGACCCTCGTCATTTCCATATTGCATAATATGAAATGAGAAGTCGAGTTTAATTTGTATAGTGTTTAGATCATGTAGAATTATAAAGAAATAATAAATGGATAATGATAAACTCATCAAATATCCTATTCATTGTTTTAAGAATGGATGTAATACGTAAATCAATTCTATTCTTAAAGTCTAACCCTAAACATTTAATCTTAACTCTAAACTGTAGCTAGGAATAAAATAGTAACCCTTCAAACTCTTTATACATCCTTACTAGGGCTCAAGAAGACGGATGATCTATATCCATCTTAACGAATTTACATGTCGTTGTCTTATTGATTTGCTGCAAGATAGGAAAGCCCATAGAAAACTTCAGTAAGTTTATTAATATTATGTAAAATCTCCCAAAATATTATTACGTATTTTTTTATAATTATTTTACCATTTGGTCAATGATGGGTTGAAATTTGTCCAAATTACTTTTAAGTTAATCCTTATAACATACACTTACCTGACTTATTTTGTGAACTGTTGTTGTACAATTTTGTTACAAAAACATATTCTGAATTATCATTAATACAGTGCAGTGTCGGTTACTATATTAGGCCCGTATAACTTATTCTAGCTTCTGGACAGGTCAATTTATTCATTCTTCTTGAGTCACGTTTTAAGATTGTTAATTGTTCACTTATCAACCCTAACTGTTTTTATATCAGCGTATATGTATGTACATTTCATCCTACTTATCACATGTCAGTAGATTATTTCCGTGTGACCATAAATATTGATTAACGCTTGTTTAAATCAAGTTGGTCCACACTCCTTTTCCACTGCATGTCATTTTGCTTCTCGCTCTTCACTTTCTTCGCTTCGTTTCTTCGATCATTTGTCTCGATCAACAATTGTATGAAATATACGTATTCAAAAATCCATTCTCGCATTTGACTTATTTGATTCCGTTATTCGCCAACGCGAGTTAAATCAATAATTATATACTAGGATTAGTGGCATGTATATCTCAATAACAATCAGAAACAATCAAACTGGATTCAGATATAGTGCCACTAAAACAGTTATTCTTCATACATTATTTAATCAATCAAAAATAAATCATAATTATGTAACTATATTGTCATATATCAATGAATTTAAATGATATAGAAATGAACTTACATTTTCAGAATATTTTGATAACCATATCCCACAACCAAGTAAACAAATTCCATTAAGTACCAGAATAATATAGAACTTATAATTAAACAATGAAAAAACAAACAAACAAACAGAAATATAATTATCAGAAGGGGTGTTGTGGAGATTTAGTATCCAGGTTTTCCATGGTGGTCTAGCTTCAATTGACTCATGCTTTCTACTATGAGAAATACAATTGTTAAAAGCTTATACCTCAAAAGAGACTGATAAAAATACAGTTTTCACATATCAACAACAGGAAAAATGCTTAACAATTATGATATTATACAAATTGAGTGTATTAATCATTGATTTGTATGGCGAGATAAAGAAATATAGAACGATAGTTAGTCGGTATTAGTAAATATGAACTGAAATTCAAATGAATTAAGATATAATTATTACTGTTATAAGTAACTTTGTTCAAAATAGATTTTTTCTTACATTTTACTAATGAATCATAACTCTTAGAATCAATTAAGGTGGAAACGAGACAGTAATTTGTTCGTACCATTGAATGAAAATCATATTATAATTCAAATTATATAGATTAAGACAAATAAACCACTGAAATTTTATATAGTTGTATTATATGTATTATTATTCATAGATGTCTCAGGTTCAGTCAAATTTAGCGTCCTTAGTATACCTTGTTTAACTTACATTAATTGATTATTTTATGTAAGTCTTGCAGCTGATTTCAGGTAGTTGAAGGTCATCGACAGCAAACTCTGTTCAATCTAGTTTTCGTGTTATTTTGGAACTTGTTACCAAGGCTTACTGATAATTTTAGAGTGTCCGCGTTACCCAGTTTCACAGTCAGAGACACCATCGCTAATTCCCTGCAGGACTGAGATATTTATAATTGATTGACCTCTGTGTACTAACTAGTGTCATGCTTGCCTAATCTTCAGTTCTAATGGAATTCTGTCAATCAAATTATAATTTGGACATTAGTCAAAGTGTCTCGAAGTCATTGCATAATTCTGTTTGGATTTAGATTACTGAGCAAACTTTACACCTAATTCTCATGCTAATTAGACTTCATCAGTCAGGTACTTTTACAGCCTAAAAGAAAATCATTCTTCTATAGAGGTCATGTTGAGTTCATACACGTAATAACTAAATAAATCTAACACTTTCAAAAATCTTATATCTCAGTGTTTATTTACAAGCTTCATGATCTGATAAAATTTATCCATAAACTAACAATAAAGTCTGTAGTGATTCTGTGTAGCTAGAAATTGATAAAATAAATGCGTTGACGAAACTTTTCCGATTTTTATCTACATATACTAATTATTCTTATCCTATTTGATTAAAATACAAAATGTTTGTTCGGATGCATCCATAATCATAATTTCACATTCTCATTATAAGGTGAAGAGAATGTCGAAAGTACTTATGATCTCTGATGCTTTCTAAGCAATGCAATCTTTCTTTTATATATTACTGCTTCTAGGAATTTGGTGTTCATCATGTTGTGCCAATGAAGTGTGGCAACTTGGACCGATACATATATATGTGCCTAGTCCTACTTTGTAGCTAACTGACTGACTGATTTTTCGAGCTCCTGACTCACTATCCAGATAACTATTGATGAAGTCTATTTGAAAAAACCATCTGTACACACAATTCTGATAAAATATTTGAATTTACGAAAACTTTAGACGTAAATCATTTAGAAGTTATCAACACTTGACCGAAACCTTAAATTAACTAAAAGCTTCACTGACTAAAGAAATCCCACTAAAAGCTTCAATGAATAAAAAATATTCATGAAAGTAATAATGCATTAATCTGAAGACAATAAAACATTAAACGATGAAACAGTTGAACGAATTGTCTTTTAATAACTTTCAGGTATGTTTAAAACAACGGAAATGACTATAAGTTAAATACATGATTGATGTAATCCAAGAATTGTGAAATAAATTTTTTTATAAACACAGTTGATTTACTTGATGAACAAACTATGTTTATCATGATAAACAATAAGAATACTTCACATTCTAAGTAATTACTTTGAACTATTAATATTATTATTAAAGTAATTGGGTGTAACGATTGAACAACAGGAAACAGAAAAACGATTGAACTCACTGATATTGATATTCCTCTTGACCTTGACAGGATTCCAGCCCGACCAAATGGACTAGACATTAGAATAAATATCCCACATGAACATATTACATAAGATCCTAGTTTAAAAAAAGAATTACCAGTGATCGATACTAAACGCTTTTAGAAATCAGGTAACATTTTATAATCATAGATTCATATAAAAGGAAAAAAATAATTTGAGGTTTAATAAGATATGAATTGGTTTTGCTGATTTCATTTGAAATACAAAAATTTCTCTTCAGCTAAATTAACTCGATCTGAAAGATTTTATATAAGATTGAAATATATAAATTAGATCCTACTAACGGTCATCAAAAAATGTGATGATTATGTAAACTGTTTCAATGCTAATGTAGTTATCTAAGTAACTTCATTGTTAACAGATACCGACTTATCAATGAGTGGTTACCAATGTCGTTTTCCGCTAGTCCATTTAGTGCTGACCAAATCCAATTGATCTCAAAATACTACATGGAATGTTGGGTTACTTAAACTAGTGACCTCACTGAAACTCAATTTAAAGAACTCGATCAGCACTAAAGGAATTGATAAACATAATGATTGTTTAGTACACAATTTTTCAGTCCTGTAGAATGTCAGTCTTGGTCCAAATCGTTAGACGATAACGTTTCATTCTGTTTATCTGAGTGAAATGGATTTGAGTCCCATAGGACGCATCGTTTCTTGTAAGATTCCAAGTATTGCTTGTGGATGAGTGTTAATTAACACTATGTCTGGGTCAGGAATAATTTCCCGTCAGCTACCTTCAACCATCTAACACCTATTTATCAATATATTAAACGACGTCAATTAGTAAACTAGTATAAACTCCGTGGCGTACATCTTTTACTTTAAAGTTCACGACAACACCAATAACCAAGCACGATCTCACTTGAGATAACACTTCAAACTTTCAGATTGTGATGATAAAAATAGAAAATACAATCGCTATAAAACATCCAGCACACGCACACACATTTATACATACAAACAAGCAAACATATACACGGAGAACTCACCAGTAAATAATCCTAAATCATATTTTCCTCGAAGAAAATGATAATCACTATAAGTGATTTCATAAATTCCAACGCTTAAAGCAATACATCCTGTAATCTAAAATAATAATTCTATATTAAAAATCGGTTCATCATTCATAAATATTTTTGGTATTTTAGTTAAAGAATTAACTAATCATTTCAAATAATCCTCACATGTTAATCAATACTCATGAGAAGCTGTGATCAGTGGAGGCAATCCCGTATCGAGTGTAAGGCAGTTACTCCCCGAAGACAATGGGAGATAGTCGAGTGATCTCGTGGATAGATTGAAGTTAGACGCTGATACCGTTGGTTGCTGGCTCACTGCGCATCAGACCGAAGATCCTGGGTTCAAGTACCGTGTGTGGGATCGTGGCTAGTCTCTACTAAAGAGTCCCGTACTTAAACGAAACGGCGGCCCAGCGCTCTCAGATTTTCAGTAGTAATTTAACTTAAATCTATCCATGATCTCAATAAAAGATTAATTACCCAGTAGAAAGCATTGAATGTAATTAGACAACGTAGAATCCATTTGTTCCACAACATCACTTAGAAGAATAAAAAAATTCTCCACTGCTACAAAAAATTGATAAATTCAATATATTAACGAACAATTTATTATTTGTAATATTTATCATCACTACGAAATAGACCAATACAAATTAGGTAAAACGATCTAAACAATATCTTGTGCAGCCTTGGCAACAAATAAGAATAAATTTAGGATTTCCATGAATATTAATCATCTTATTAATATGCATACATTTGATCTAAGGCAAGGGGGGTAAGGTGAAAAGGTTTGGCATGATGATTCATAGATTAATGCATTGATAAGATGAATAAGTTGTATATGCATTCAGTAATTTTGTCAAACTATTGAATAATTTGTATATTTTGCACATCTATATGTCTTATTTTATGCTGAATGCTTAATATTAGTTACAGTCAACAGGATAATATTATTGATTGATATAAAAGACTTTGTAGTGTTGGATTAAAATTAATATTTGATGAACATTGATCATTTTAATTCAATGTTATACCAAACTGGATAACTTCAAAATATTGTCTTAGGAATGGATAGCTTATTCACTAAAACAACTAATTCACAGATTTCGAACTCTCTAACACCTGTTTCAATACAGAAACAGTTAAGTAATATAATTATCTCTAGAGTAAATAATACAGATTAGGACTAAGTATATAAACCTCGATTCAGTGAATGTGTTAATGAAGAGAAAACATTAACAATGATATACTTAACTGGTCTTTGGGCTTCATATGAATAATTAGACTTCAGTCGAATCACTATCCTAATCCATATGACCAAACACATCGTGAAATAATGTAATTAAGCTCATTTCTTCGCTCCGTCATAATTCAAATAGATTTAACTAATCAGTCGTATGACAGTAAATACAGTAGACCTTGATTTCATTGATCATTGAGAAGTGACCAATGTTTAGTTTTTTAATCTTTAATACTGATCGAATTATATCTATCAATTTGTAATGTGATCATTAATTAGTTATGATAACTCGGTATTGTGTTCACTATGTTGCAATGCTAGATGTCTGGAAGAAGTCAGTAGGATGCTTGGCTTAGATTTTCGCTCAAAATTCATAACATGATGGACATCATGTATTTTGTTGAATACTCAGTGAAACCCACCAAAACTATTGAGGTTACGAACCGATCTATGTTATACAACCGTCGAAAAGCTGGAGGTATTGAACAGCTGTCTCTTCTTATCACTGAACTTCTTAGAAGTGAACATCCACAACCCCACCACAGGTGACCAAATCCGGGACTTTCAGTCACATGCACAATCGCCTAATCTCTAGACCATTGAACCGAGATCGACGAGACTATAATTTATAGACGAACCAGTCAGTGTGTATTTCCAAGAGGATGTTATAGATGTAGGTCTACAACAAATGGAACTGTTGAGAAGCTCAATTATTTTCTGATGAAGAGCTCAAATGTCCTCTTGACTTTATGTTGCCTATCATGATGACGTGGTATTTCTATATAACATATTTTGGAAGAAGAAATCTGCTAGAACAGAGACATCTTTTGCTCGTTCCTGATTGGTACTAACACATAGTGTTGTGAACTGGACAATAAGAGAACCAGTAAAATGGGCTGCAAACTTTGGTGATGTCGCTGAAATTTAACAATCCAGTGTTATGAGTATTTCAGAGAAATATGTGACATAAAGAAGATGATTATAAATCAGTCGTTTGGAAGTGTCGAAAGAACCGTGGAAATTGATTAAACCGTCAATAGAAAACGTAAATTTATTAGAGGAAGTGTAAGAGATAACTAGGGGTGTATCAGTTCCCTAAATGTGCTTATCAATTTTCTGTCATTTATGATAAGATACGACAAAAGGGATACTTACAGGACGTCAGAAACCGATAGGCTGCAACGTTGGTACCAGTTATACAACAGTATATCCAACTAGGTATCATACAACCGCCTAACTAGACTCGTTGAAGTTAGTCGTGTTGCTGTTTACAAAAATCCATTTGTAAGTCCCACTACTGGCGTCCACACAAATAACATAGAAGCGATATGGTCGAGACTAAAAGAATTCATGTGACCTTATCATGGCTCTCGTATTCGGTTATTATGGAGTCACTTGGATGAGTTTCTATAACATATACATTATAATTTCAGAACATCAGAATCTATTTCTAACCTTCAAAAGTTCTTAAACCATATTTAAGATATGTATCGACTATATTTTCTTGGTTTTCCATGATAATTCACTGCACTATATCAACCGTTTTCCGATTGTCTGAAGTTTCTCAAGTTCAGTTAAGACTCACTCAAAGGTCATCCATGAACCGAAGTCTCGTCCCGGTATTCAACAGTGTACAATACTAACCCCACTTAATCCGCGATATTGCATGACTACCTTCCATTTTCTTTTTGTGATTACTTTCCTCACACCGAACACAGTTGAACCCCACTGGTCAAAAATTTTCACCAGGATTCCAGAAATTCGTTCTCGAAACTAGTTAATTGTAACCACATACGAATTATAAATGTAGAGTCTGTGGAAATCAGTCAAGGTAGGAATGAACTCGAGCGCTCTTTAAAGTGACCTTTAAAAAGTGATTAGTATTTCATGAAAAAAAGCAAAACAAATCAAAAAGAATTAAAATCTATGTCATCCATTAACTTGACCTATTAACTTTCATAAATAACTCAAGGCTTCTTGAGATCTAAAGTCAAAAATCCACCTGCACTCTCATTCATCCATATAGCTACAATGAATTCTTTCATACTAATCCTAACGCGTGAAATGGTACTGGGTTCAAGTCCCAGAGTGAACATCGACTCTGAGATGCAAGTACATCCAGCTGACGAGTCCTAAATAGGACTTGACTGGCATCCTAGATTCCACTACTAGCCACCATTCATATTCGCTTATAAATATTAACAATGTTTAAATAATTATATTAGTTATTCAATTCCTCTTTTTTTCTAACCATTAACACATTTTTACTTTTTGTATACCCGCGAATTTTTTTGGTTACGGATTAATTAACTTAGTTAGAACAGTAGAAATTTTATCGATAAAAATTTTATTACCCTTTATAAAAACAAGTTATGAAAATTGATAATGACTATAAGATTACATTGAAGTTAATTAATTAGCATTCAAGATTCGAACTGTATGTATGTGTAAGAGTCAGCTGAAATAGAACAAATGAATTATAGATAATAGTTGATAAGTAATTGAAATTAATGGTATTATCAGAGAGAGAGAGAGAGAAATGTTCTTAATGAGCTTGTTTTACCAGAAAACAACCGATCCTTTAGCCCCTCCGGGGGCTACCGCCTGTAGGGCATGGGGTTAGTGACGTCATCCCGTAGAAAACTAACTCGCTAAAAATCGCTAGCTAGAAGACAAAAAATTTAAACCGAAACTATTAAAAATACTTAAAAAGATAAATTGAATTAGATATATAACATTGTAAGACAATCAATAAAAGTATCTTGATCTATGTACCATGGATGGTCAAACTATATAACCAAATAATTGTATAAATGTAGATATTATGTCAGATGGGTCAGAAATACAAAATGATATAATGTTTTTAATTAAAATTCTGATATCCACTATTTATAAGTGAATATAATGTTTCGGATAGTGGAAAGAGTAATGAACCATATTCTATATTGAATTTGTGAGGCAATTTTTGTGTGTGTTATCAGATTGTACATTTATTTATCTCTACATGAACGTTATGAACAGATGCTTTAATATAAAAAAATGGAGCTGTTTGTAAAATCCAATCCAAACACTTGTTTTCAAGTCAGGAATCCGACAACTATATTTCCTGATCACATTTTGAAGAAACTACTTATGAGTCTGTGATGGAGAAACGATAGTAGTCAAACTACACAAATAGTCTAATCGGTTGACTGAGTTTCATTTCAAACATCATTTTCTAAAGTTTCGAGGATGAAGCTTCATGTTTCATTTCTATTTGCTTTCGTACATATTTCTCATTAGTCTATCTGGTCGCATTTTGTTAATTATCTGGATTTTACCCACTACTGATCTAGTTATTTGTTAGCTTTTATCAACTGTCGAATTATTTTACCTGATTGCTATGCATTCTACTTATGCTGACAGATATAAGTAGTATGTATCAGCAATAGAAAGTGGAATGATTGCCAGCAGATTAAAATGAAGATAACAGGAAGGAAGTAGATGAGCAACAGAATTAGAGTAATAGTGAAGTATGTAAGGGACGACGCAAAGATGTGTAAATGATGTATTTAATGTATGATTTTTATGTTTTACTAAGCCACTGTGGGATTTAACATCACTATAGGATGACCGTATTACAAATTGATTGGCAGAACTCGATTAACCCCAATAGCTAGTTATTAACTAACTAGTGGTATTAAGGATTTTCCGAAATCCTGACAGAAACCAGTATTATCGATCATCATTGTCAAAACAGTTTCTCAGTAACATAAACAGTTAACTACTATTAGATAAATCATAAGGAACTGACTATGATTAGAAAAACATTTAAAGCCTAAGAATAATAAACATCTAATTCATTCTCATATGAAACTCCTCGGTAGTAGATATACGTTTAGGGATGTTAAACCCCCCAATATAGAATTGTGTACTGATTTACTGTGACTTTCATTCATTTGACTTTAAAATTAATTCAATGAAAATCCCTTTTAGTATAACATTCATTTGTATAAACTGTGTGTATGACGTATAGTGTAATAATTTCTCTGAATAATAATTACTCCTTGTGGGTACATATACAACTGAATGAACTTGAATGCTCAACAATCTTTTTTTATTCCCTATTAAGTCAAAATTCCCTCCTAAATACCCGATGTTAAGAGGGAAGAGATGTGGTCAACCGAGATTGAAGTAAAGTTAGTAGTTGTCTTTGTTATCGCAAGCCATATCAGTATCCCGTAGTCTAAAAAGGGATTGGACTGTGATGTGAATAGAAAAATAAAGAAACAATGACAAACAACGGAAGCCATTTTTG